CTTGTAGATTCGTATTGTGTATATACTCTCTCTCTCTATTGATATATATATATATATATATATATATGTATATATGTATAACACGCCTTTGTGGGTTTCTACGCCAATGAGGGCGAAGGAACAAGAGAAAAAAAGGGAAAAAAGAAAATAATGGCTGGCCGAAGAACAAAAATCTCCACTTCTTTTATGCTATCGCTGTTGCTGGCGTCGTCGTTGTTGTACGGTTTCTCGCGGGCCGCCGAGAAGAGGGCTGACAACGCCATGAAGTTCATGATGTTCATTTATTTTCTTTACGCTCCAATAAAGACAAAAGAAAAAGAAAAAAGAAGTACCGGGAAAAAACTGCGAGCCTTTGTGCTTGAAGTTTTTTTTTTCTTCTTCGTTCTCCTGTACCTCTTGCGGGTGTGGGCGGGTTCCCTGCGGTCTCGCTGTGGAAGAAGACTCTCGCACCCGCCGTCTTCGCGCAACGGCGTGTGTAAAGGAATGGCGGGAGGGGGGGGAAGCCAAAAAGTAACAAGAAAAAGATGGAGATTGCGGAGCAGCTACGTGGACCCGTCTCGCCCTCTTCGGGTGCCTCCTCTTTCTTTTCCTGCCTCACCCTCCCTGTCGCCTTTACCTCTCATGCTTCCTTTTGTTTTTGTTTTTTAATCCACTTCTTCACCTCTTCTTCGCTGCTACCTCGTATTATTTAATGTCACCTGCTTCTGCTCCTATACACCGCACAACACAACTCGAAAACAGATGCATCTTGTGGGAAGCAACTCCACGAAAGCTTCCATCACTACTGTCTCTTCTCTCTTTTTTTGTTTGTTTGTTATGGCCCCCAGTAAGGTGCCGTCTTCCGACTCTTGTGTGAATATTTATTCTTAACGGCCTTCTTTTTGTGGTTGCTCTCCTGGAGTGTGTTCATTGCTTCTTCTTTTTTCTCTCTTCTTGGAGATATAGGCACAGTTTTTTTGGTTTTGTTCTTAATCTCCTGTTTCCTTTGTTTCTTCTTTTGTTTGTGTTGCTTGTTTTGGTTGTTGCACCGCATCCTCCTGCTTGCGTGTTTGCCTCGTGCTCTCTTTTAGGCTGTGAAGTCTCTTTGTTTTACTCCGACACATCCGTATTTTATTTAAACATATATATTTTCTTTACCAACGTGTTTGTTGTTGTTGTTATTCATATTATTACTTTGTTCCTCTTTTCCTTTCTTTTGTGTAGTAGTAGTAGTGGTTGTATCATTTGGTAGTGCTGTGTGGTTCGCTTCTCGTGAGTGCGGGTGTGCGTGCGCTTGTGTTCGCTAACACGTCACAGCGCGGTGCGACTTCTTCATTCTTTTAGTGTGTTGTTGTTGTGGTGGTGGTGGTGGTAGTGGTGGCGGCGGTTGTCCCTCGCCTCTCTGCCCGGTGTACATCGCACATCACCAACGCTCGAAGAAGGAGGAACACAATCTCTACTGTGCGTTGGCTTGTCGCGAACAAGCACACACCACTCAAATAAAGGAAAACAGAAGAGAAGCAAATAACAATAGTACGAGCACTGTTCTTTCCTTTCCTTATTTCCTTTTTTGTCTTGTGTGATTCCTTCGATGAACCGGACACGCGAGCTGCTGCGCCGGCCTGCGGGCGGTGTGGAGCCGAGGAAGCACAAGAAGGACGCGTCACGCGGCAACAACGATGACAATCACCCCAGCCGCCACTCGGCCTCCTCCTTTCCGCGGAAGGACTCCCAAGGCGCTGCCCGTGGCACCTCCATCGGCAATGGGGGCGAGGAAGCGAAGAAGTGGACGCAGAGGATAACGGACACAAAGATCTTTAAGCGGCTCCTGCAGCCCCCGCAGATGGTGGCCGACAAGAGGAGCAACGGCGGCAACAGCAACTCGAACAACAGTAGAAGCCATTCGCACAGCCAAGAGAGCACTGTGCCTCTCCTCGGCGAAGTTCCCGTCCGCTCGAGGTACTACCGCGCCGAGCAGCAAAACCCTCACTTCGCGACGACGGTCGATTACCTGCCGCTGGCCGAGGTGTGCGGGCCGCCCCCGACGCCGACCACGAATCTCCAACAGCCATCACAGCAAGAAAAGGAAATCGAGACACTACGCCGGCGCCTATCGATCTCCGGCAAGCACGCGCAGCCCCACAGCAGTCGCACACGCAGAGGCTCCGGCGAGAGCGACACCCTGTACGATGGCCTGGAGGACTACGCGATGCCGGTCGGCGATGTTGATGACGTCGATATGGGCGATGCTGCAGGCGGCGGCGAAGTCGAGGAGGAGCAGTTCATCGAAGTGGTCAACTACGAAGAACAGGACGACGGCAACATGGGCGAGTACAACGACGGGGTAGTCGAGAACGGCGTCGGCAACTTCGGGGTGGGCGGCTCCTACAATGAACACACAGATAGGAAGAACACGGCGGCGGTGACGGGTGGTCTGCGGGAACAGCTCGTGCGCCGAATCCCTGGCAGTGCGCAGCGGCGCCACTACCGCGGTAGCAGCATGGGTAGCTGCTCGAGCACCTCCTCCTCCGTTGGGCCGACCGGGTTGGCGCTGCTACCGCAGTTTCGCTGGGTGCCACGGCCCGGTGGTGGCGGTCACGGGTTCAACCCTTTTATGGCGTTCCGACGCGCGCAGCCCGGTCCACCGCAGCAGCAGCAACAGCAGCAGCAGCAGCAGCAGCAGCGGCGCTCTCCGTTTTATACCTTAGACCACTACAACGTCCCTGTTTCCCCACAGACAACTCCACCGCACACGGCACCCAACGAGAACAACGCAGCTGCACCGCCGCTGCAGGAGCAGCAGCGCGACGAGAGTCGAATGACCGCCGCGCTGAGTGTGGTTGGGGCCGTGCATAGCGGCTATGATATGTACTACAACACCCCATCGCCTGGTTCGCCGCAGCGTGGTGTGTCTCCGCTGCACAACTCCTTCTACGGACCGATTGGCACTTTGGGCATCGAAGCCTCCCGCAAGCGTCGAGAGCTGGAGCTGGAAAACGGCGCCGCAGGGGACGCGGAGAAGGCGTATAAGGCGCGCACCGCCCGCCGCTCGAACCTCTTCGATGACGGCAGTATTCTGTTGATCACGAAGGCGTGGTGCGAGCCGGACATGCTGCTCAGCGCGCGCGTGGTGAACTCCCCGTGTTTACCGGACGACGTGGACGACGACACGAGCAGCTCTGACAGCGCAAACTGCCTCGAGTGCGACGACAGCAGCGATGACGTGGCGGGTGGGAAGCCGCCGGTGTACGACGCGGCGACCATGGCGGCCCGCGAGGCCCGAGTGCGCAAGGAGCGGGTCCGGCAGGAGCGTCGCCGCTACGAGTCCGCTGACTCGCCGTCTTTCTACTTTGCCGGCGGGGAGTTGGCGGCCTTACAGCCTCCCCTTCCCTCCCCGTCCGCTCCGCAGCAGCCGAATGGAGCAGCGTCGAGGAAGGGGATGACGTCGCCTACCGCCCACATGGCCCCTCCGTCTCCACCGCTACGTCAGCGCACGCCGCAGACCCACACGAAGCCCTCGCCACCGCCGAACAAGCCTGTGGCGGCGGCGGCGGGGAGAGAAGACGTGGACTCCAGCTCGTCGGACGACAGCAGCGACAACGACGCAGACTCGAGCACGGACTCGGACAGCGACTCCCGCAGCGACGCCTCCTCCAGCACCGACAGCGACGTCGACGAGGTCGCGAGGGGAGAGGAGGGAGAAGACAACGGTGGCTGGGAGGCAGACGGCGATCGCACGCCGCGGGGTGACACCACCACGCAGGCCCCCACCCGTGGCACGCGGTCGTCGCCGCGCGGTGGTGGTGGCCGGGCACTGCCACCGGATACTTCCATGTCCGTCGTCCCCGACGCGTCTCTCGGCCGCAACGTCGTGGTCGGGGGAGACGCGGGGCGGTACGACTTCATGAACAGCTCCATGATGAACGGGCCCGGCGGCAGTCTTTGGTTTCCGCACGATGCGAACGAAGCGAGCGTCGTAGCGATGACGACCGCGATGGCCCCGCTGACGCCCCTCCACCGGCCTGGAGGCACCAGCAAGAACAATAGCACGTCGTCGCCGGTGTACAGTGGACGTGGCGGCAGCACAGGTGATCGACCAGGCGCTGTGGCCCCGCCTGCCCCTCCCAAACACGTTTCCAGCTCTACCGCCGCCTCCCCGACGGTGTCGTCGGCCACCGCGCACGACAAAGGGCCGCTGATGGCGCGGCCCCCGTCGGGCAGTGGCGCCTGCGCTGCGAGTGTGCTACGGGATAAGAAGCAAGCGAAGCAGACCGCAACCGACACACGCGCCAACGCGGAGTCACCGCACGGTGGAGCACAACCGCAGCAACCGCCACAGCAGCAGCGGCGGGGGAGCTACAACGTGAGCACGAACAGCTACGACGGCGGTGCGGGTGACATGTCGGTCTACGGGAGCTCTTTCCACCTGCGTGATGCACGGTTTCTGTACTCCCCCGCGGAGGAGGCCGTCGCGGCGGCGGCGGTTGGGGTCCGTGCGTTGCCCGGCGCCCGTGCGAAGACCAGCCCCCCGCAGCACCACCCCCTCCCCGACCTCCGCCAACGGCAAAAGCAACCAGCACCACAGCAGCAGCAGCAAGAGAGAGAGCACGGCGTCGCCGGCGGAGTACACGATGGCGATGCCCGGCGCCCATGCCCACCGCGGACCCACAGAGTCGCCGCTGGACTTCAGCACGCTGACGTACGCCGCTCCGGCCACGTCCGCCGCGCACGGCAACCCACAGAATCGCAACCCAGCTGTATTTCCCTCCCTGTCCGCCAACGATAATAGCAACAGTAACGGCGCGCGTACATCGACAGTGTCACCAGCTGGCACCTCCATGAGTACGGGAGACTACAACAGCCGCCCATCCAGTCTTGCCCCGCGCATCTCACCGCCGACCGCGGCAAGCCGACCTTGGTCGCTCATCCCACAGTCGCATCCGGACGGCCGTCGAATAGCTTCCGCCACATCGCCCACCAACGCTCCGAGCTCGTGGACCGCCCAAGGACCACGGCGATGATAACAACACGACGGGTGCCGGTGCGATAGCATGACAGCAGGTCCCTGTGGCAGTTGAGGGGGTCGGGGGGGGGAGAGGGGGGAAGTACCCACACTGGAGAGGAAGGTACCACTCGTCCATGGGCCCCATCCAAAAACGGCAGATCACACAGGTGCGTGGTTTTTTGGTTTTTTCTCTTTCGAGAAGGGCAGCACCTCGCCGGAGTCCACGAGGGTGCGGTATTTACGGCTGGGGCGAGAGGACGCGCCGTTGAACGACCAGAATTACAAGCTGACTAGTGCGTCGCAAATGTGCCTGAGTACTTTATTGACTATTCCTTCCCATTGTTGTTGTTGTTGACGTCGCGTGACGGGTTTCTGGCGCTGCTGCTGCTGCTGCTGCCGCCGTGGCGGCGGTAGTGTTCTTACTGCACCACCGAAGTACGATGGATCGTGTTGTTCAGCTCTTCTCGTTCTTTATTCTTATTGTTATTATTATTTGTTGTTGCGGCTGCTATCGCTTCTCGACATCGTTTTAGAATTCACATTTTCGAAGAAGTTATCTTCGCTCTTTCCTGTTGTGGTGGTGGCGGTGGTGGTGGTTGTTGTTTCGTTGTTCCTCAGCTGCAGGTCGTGGTTGCATGTGCATCTTCTTTTGTTTGTTTGTTTGTTTTATGTTATTTACCTGTGTTCTTGTTGGTTTGAGTCCGTTTCCCTGTGCGCATCGGCCCATCAATATATATGTATTGATTTTACCTTTCTTTCTGCGTGCCCACCGAAGGTGTACGGAGTTGTTGAAGCGTACACCACGCCCCCGGATGTGGATATCATCTACCTTTGGTTCTTTTGTTTTGTTTCTTTGTGTTAGTTTGTTTTTTTCCATTCATCTCCCCCGCTCTCGCGTCTGCTGCTGCTGCTTCTTTCTCCTCCTCTTTTCGACGCAGCATTGGGGCTTGCGCTACATTCGCCTGTACCTCTCTTGTGTTCTATCTCGTATGCCGACCACCACCACCTGTTGAGGTTCACTGCGGCAAGATACGCATGGGGAGAAGAGGAATGCACCGGAGTGTTCACAGCGGCTTTCCTTATAATGTTTTTTTTTTTAACGTCGTTTTTCCTTTCTCTTCAGCTGCGGACGTGAGTGTCGTCTTTTTTCTTTCTCCTTTTGCTCCCACATTGGCTGCATCAAAGCCTTTTCGCTTCCGTTCCTTTACATCATGCACTGCGGCACCTGTCTGAGATGCGTGAAGGGGAAGGTTTCGCAGAGATGGCTGTGGGGGATGTTTGTATCTAAAAAAAAAAAAAAGAGGAAAAGGCGCAGCGCGGACTTTGTATGTGTACACACCGGCACATCCTACATTATCTAATATCTTGTACATATATATATATATATGTATCTTTTCATGTTCCCAGACGCGTCTGTCATTAACGGTCACCACTCTTTCCTTGTATCAATGAAAGAAAAGCAAACACGTAAAGCTCTGATATGGCAACAGTCAGTGCTCAAGGGCATCGATGTAGAAGATCCGAAAAAGACAAAAAAAAGTAGCTCGCACAAGTGCTGCTCTCCCCTCTTCCCATTTTTCTCTTTTCTTTTTTGTTCTCGGGTTGTGGGAACAACAACCCCCCCCCCCAAAAAAAAAAACGACAACGCGATCTTTAGTGTTATCAGGTCTTCTTTTGTTTAGTCTTAAAACAAAAACCCGCCATTTCCTGCTTCTCACCTGTGAAACGAACACGAGCGGCTTTTTCTTTTCTCTTCTTTTCTTTATTTCCCTCTTCTGTATGCTCTTTTTTTTTTCTTTTCTGCAATTCATCGTCTGTTGCCTCTGTTCTGGTGCTATGTGAACAGCGCATTGTTCCTTGTTTATTATTATTATCATTTCTCCTTCGGTTTTACTTTGAAGCTGCCCTTTCGTTACTTGTGGAAACAACCAACCCCCTCCGCTTCTTATCTCTCTTGCTTTTCTCTTTTCGCTTGTCATCATCGTATTCGCTGCGACAAACCTGTACGGTGTAACGTGTCTTCGAGGATGTGCATTTCGGGTGCTGGTGTTTGTTTTTGCAGGGGCGCGCCAAGTGAGTTGGACCTCTGGCTTTTCTGGTCTCCGTTCTTTTTGTTCTGCGTGGGCGCGTGTTTTCGCCGCCTCCCCCTTTTTCGAAAGCCCAGATAGAGGGCGCTCTGTGGCACGTTGATGTGTTTGTGTGGGGGAGAGGGGAGGGCGATGCGCGCACAGAGAAATGAGACACAGGTTTTTTTTCTGTTCTTCTTATTGGTAGAAGGTCATTGGAAGAGACGCGCATCTACCTTCACTTTTTGCTGATGTTTAGTTTTCCAGGGACAAAGAAAAAGGATGCCTCTTACCTTTTGAGATGCTACACGATCTCCTTTCGGAGGGCAACCACTTCCTTGGTGCGTAGCTGAGTCATACATGTACGCGCCTAAAAATTGTAGCAAAAGCAATGAAATCAGTAATTTGCTGCTGTTTGCGTCTGCGTACCGCATATGTCTTGGAGGTTTCCCCCGTGTGGACCTCCTTTGGCTCTCTTTCTCTCGTACGCGCAGGTTCTTGCCGCGTACGCTGCAGAACTCTACTCCTTCTTTTTCCTTTCACTTTGTTGCTCCTCTCCGTCTCCCCATTTCCTTCCTTGCCTCTTTTCCTTTCGCTTCTTCTTCAAACGCCTGCGACGGTGCCGTCGCATCACACGCTACGTACTCTGCCGCTACCGTCCTCATTGCGGTCTCTCCTGGGGTCGGAATGCTACCTCCTACACGTCATGCGTGGGCTGGCATGGAGTTGTGCCCTTTACCTTTTCGCCAACTGGTGCTTTCACGCTGGTCCTCATACATCTTCTTGGGAGCTTGACTTCTCTCATGAGCTCATCTTTCCGCCTCACACACCCCTCACAAACGCGCCTTCACAGTCGACGGCGAAGTGTGTTCCGTTAAACGTTTCCAGCTAATTGGCCAGCGCCCGTTCCTTACTCTGTGTGTGTATGTGTGTAGTTGAGTGTGTGTGTGGCTGTTATCGACTGCCCACACCCACACGCACTCTTCAGTAGAGAAGAATAAGAGGCGTACATACTCCCCCAGCGTTTCTTTTCTTGTGTGTGTGTGTGTGTTTGCTTGCTTTCACGCTGGCTGTCCCGCCCCCCCCCCCTCTTCTCCTCACTCTTTTTTCTTTGCTTATTACTATTGTTATAAATCATTGTTCTTCTAATATATATACTTTTTTTCTCTGTTGTACGTCTAGCCGCGTGTGGGCGTGAATCGCTTACCGGCCCTTTCCTTTTTTTTTTATTGCTTTGTACTGTATTCTTTCTACCTACTCATTTCCTTCTTCTCCGTGTACGTATACGTTTCATTCCACCGCTCCACTGTGCTTTCCAGTCTTTGCTTTCGTGTCTTTCACGGTTGTTTCCATTGTGGAGGTTGTTGTTGCTTCTAACTGTTGTTGGGTGCTGCTCCATTCATTTTGTGTTGTGTTGTTTGTTTGTTTTTACGCAAGCGACGTCTTGTCACGGCGCCTCTCTTGTTGGTCCTTTCTTTCTCTGTGCCCGCTTTACTAAAAAGAAATATACTGCATCATTGTTCACCTCTTTCCACTACTGTCTCTGCCATTTTTCTCGTCTTGCTGTCATTTTGTTTTTATTTTTATTCTTATAGCTCTTGTTATTATTGTTGGTGTTATTACTCACACCACGGCATTTGGCATTGCCGCCTTCTCGCTGAAACGCCGGGTTTGCCGTTGCCGAATAACAAGTTGGTACGTATCATCGCCTTTTTCTTTTGGTTTTGATTATTATTATTATTACTTTCTCCAGCCGTTGACGCTGCTCCCTCCCTACCACCGTGTGGAGGCGTGAACACCGCGATCGCCAACCAAGAGAAGAAAAAGATCGTGGATATCAACCGCCTGTCCTTTTTCTTCTTCCTCTCCCTTCTTCTCATAAAGAAAAAAAGATCTCGTTTGTTGTTTACGTGAGCGGGTGCACTGCAACTTTATAAAACTATCATCTTCTTGTTGTTTGTTACTTCTTATTATTATTATTATTTTCGTCCTCACCGTAGTGTTGTGGAGTACAATTAGCGTAAGAGCCGTTATAATAATTGCCCACGAAGCACACTAAAAATAATCGCCTGTTTTCTTTTCTTTCTCTCCCTTTCTCTCTCTCTCGTTGCCTGCGTGCGTACTCCCTATTCTTTCAGATATTGCTTATCCCTTTTTCATTATTAGTATTAGCTTGTGTTATTCCATCGTTTGGCAGTATTCTTTTTTGTTTCCCCGTATATACATATATATACATATACAGTCTTTCTCTATTGTATTATCTTTCACCCCCGAATCTTGTGTTGGAGCTCCTCCTCTTGCTCTTTTCCCTTTTTTCCGTTTCGGTGTGTTTCTTCGTTTGTTTGTATGTGTGTCCGTTTGTTCCTCTCCCGTGTACTCGTGCAGCTCGCCAGTATTCACAGCAGCTCCCTCCCTCCCTCTCCCTTCCTTCTCCCTGTACGGCATCAGCGACCTCTTCCTCCTCCTCTTCCTCCTCCTCTTCCTCCTCCCCATCGGCTCCTTCCAGAATTTTCCTTCCTTGCTTCCGTTTTATTTGCTTATGGTTGTTGATTGCGGGCTGCTTTACTCTTTCTTCCACCTTCTTATCGGGATCGCTCTCTTTCTGTGCCTGGCATTTCTCTTACCGGGTGCAGCTGCGTGTTGCCGTTGCCGATCGCGTCTTACTTTGCCTTTTTCTTTTAATTCTCCTTTTCTTATCGTTGTTGTCTTCACCTTCTTTTTTGTTGTTTTCTACCGTTGGATTTCTTATCTATTGAAGTGGAGATGTCGCTGTATAGCCTCTCTAGCACTCTCACCTGGCTGTCCAACAGCGACTCTAAAACCACTTCCCACGGGCTTCATTCGCGCAGGCCCTCCCCCTCCACGACCCGACTGATGAGCGCCAACAAGAGCGGTGCCGCCGCCACCACCACCACCCATTCACACGGACCTGCCGGTGATGCAACGGCCGATCTCACGCTGGCCCGCGCCGAGAGCATGAGTACCACCGATTACGAGATTGGCCTCGGCCCGGCTGCTGCGGCAGGCGCCTCCAGCACCTCCCTGACCTCCTCCGAGCTGCAGCGCAGCGTGTCACTGACCGAAGTCTTCTACGAATTCGCCACGTCCCCTAATCCAATAAACGTGGACGCCGACGTGCACGGCGGCGGTGCGAGCGACCGAAGCAAGGCCACCGCGGAGGCAAAGGACGCCAGCACAAAACACCACAGGGGCGGTACAGCGACCTACCACGACAACAGCAGCAGCACAGGCACCACCGCGTCTAGCATTCGGCTGTTGGTGGAGAGCTTTTCTGAGCAACGCACACCAGCACAGCCTATACAGCAACCATCGCCAACGGAGCAACACCGTATGGAGATGACGACGGCGGCGACGATGATGACCGCCCCGTCGACGGCACCCCCTTCGCAGCCTATCGCGACGGCGGTCCGGCACGGTAGCTTCTCCGCCCCTCTCTGCTCCCCGCTGGGTTTGCTAGAGTCGGATGGAAAAGGTAACTACTACTACTTCCAGCCGTTGCTCGCGTCTGTTGGGCAGGGAGGGGCGGCTTCTTCATTTCCGTCTCTCCCTGAGAGGCCAAACGATGTGCCGGAACAGCGCCAGCCGGAAGAGGAGCGCCTTGATGAGCTGCCACGTGTGTGGGGGCGTCATTCCCCTGCACCGCCACCAACTCGGCCCGCCACCTTCCCAGTCGTCCGCCTTCACCTACTCAGCGGTACCAATCACCACAGCAAAACAGACGCGGTGCACACACAACCGCAGCCCCTCCTTCCCCCGCAGTCGAATGCGGAATACATGACGCCCCTCGCACGGATTCACGGAAGGCAAAAACGGAAAGCAGTACCGCCACGACCTGCACCGGTTGCGGACGATCCGACGTCATCGCAGTCATCGTCCATGCGCACCGTCGACGTAACTGCGCCACAAGCGCGGGCCGAACGGTGCACGGAGCCGGAGATTCAGGTCGTGCCAACGGTGGTTGCCTTGCGCCGTCTGCTGCGACGCCTGCGGCCCATCGCCCTGTCTCGTGGTGCCGCGCCGCGGTCGTTGAAAGCGCCCGCATCGAAGCACGCACCCTCCACGCTGCGCAGCGGGCAGGTGATGGCCACAAGGGTCTCTACGCTGCACAGCTCCATTCTCCAATCCTCCTCGCGCGTCCAGCACTCGCTTTCGCGGAACAGCTTTTCCGACCCTTCCATGCATTCCGCTGTGCAGGCTGGTGAGCGAGGGCCACGCAGTCCGCTTTCTTCGTCCAGGTGCGATGCGCATTGTGTGGGGCGCCGCCTTTTTCTTAAAAGAACGAAGACGTCCTCCATGGTGTGCAGCACGCGCACGGTGCACCCACACGCGCAGCACGCCGTCTACGAAGCCCGCCTCTGCGCCGCCCCTCACGCCGGTGCCTCTCCGCTTTCGGCGACGGCGATCGCACGTCTGGAGTCGAATAGCGATGGCGTTCACAGCACCGAAGGGGGAGGGGGAGAACAGGAGGAACCCGCTGCGCTCAGCTTGGTGGACTCACTGACGATGCGAAACACGAACGGCCAACCCTCGCTCCACGAGAGCGTTGCGACGGTGGACACCATCGTTGAGGCCAACCCACGCACACCAGCAACGGCGAGGCGTGCGATACCGCTAGCTCCGTCCGCCCCACCTCGGCAGTCCAGCTCAGCGGCGTGCAGGACGCGTCGCCCGTCACTCCCCGCTGATGCAGCCCTCACACCCACTGCCGCTGACGCTCGAGAGGAGATCGCGCCCAAAGCGGCACGGCAGGAGTCTGAAATGGCGACTAAGGACGAGGAGGGGTACGATACTCGTGCGAACCTGCGTGAGCTGACAAGGGATATTGGGAGGGAGTATGACCTCATGGCCGCGTCGTTTGCGGAGACACTCTCCGCCTCGCCCGCCTCTCCCTCGCAGGAACGCCACCGAGCCAACACGGAGGAAGCGTCGTCGTCGGTCGTGCCGAACAACGCGTGCATTTACGTGCACCCGCGACCGCCGCCTTCGTCCCAGCGCTTCGCCTCTGTGTCTCGCCCCGTCGCAGCGGACGCGGTGATGGTGCAGAACAACGATGATGCAGCCGACGCAGCGGCATCGTCGGTGACGCCGTTCCACATCTCGCTCGGCGCGACCTCCCCTCGCGCCGATCAGCCCAACCTCAAGCGCTACCCGTCGCACATCACCCCTGTGTCTCTGCCGACGGCAATCAAAGCCGCTGCCCCGGCGTTCACCGACACCGCGCCAACGCCGAGCAAGAAGTTTTCAAAGAAGTCGAAGTTAGGCCTGGCGGGTGCGCTGGCCGGGCCAGGCACCGCCGTCATCGCGCCTCGTGTGTGTACCGCGCCGAAACCGAAGCAAAAGTCGCCGATCGCGCCGCCCGCCACCGCAGCCATCCAACCAGCGGCCGTCCTTTTGCCGTCGTGCGATGCGCCGTCTCAGCGGGGCGTCGGTGTGGTGGACTCGATACCGATGCTGCGTCAGCGCATGTCGTCGCGTGAGCAGCAGCAGCAGCAGCAGCGGCGTGAGAATCATGCGAATAAGGTCCATCAGAGCAGACCGACGCCTCAGACGGTACGAGAAAGTATTCCAACTAAGCAGATGGCGACCACGACAGTTGGAGACCCGCCTACCCCGCCGCCTCCCCACTACCCGCAAGGGGTCTCCGTCGTCAGCGACGACGCATCCGTCCTGCAAACCTCGCCGAATGACTCGTCTTACGATCCGTCACAGGCATCACTGGAGTGGAAAGACAGGCCCGTGCCGATCCTCCCCCGCAGCCTCATTGCCCGCAACACACACCAGTCCGGTTATAGCGAGCACGTGAGCTCCTCCGTCTTGACGGTGCATCACTGCCACCACCGCTAAGCGGAGCAGAAGAGCGGTGGAAAGCCGACGGAAAGAGATGTTGGTACTACTTCTTCGCGTTTCTTGCTGTTTCCTTTTTTTATATTTTCCTTCTTCCTCCTCCGTGTTCTGTCATTGATGCTCGCACTTTTCCAAATCTATCTGTGTTCTCTTTTTTACTAGCGCACCGTCAAGTGCGCACAATCTGTTACTTATTCTTACTACTGTTATTATTTTTAGGAAGGACGCTGGTGTTTTCTGCCACGGTCTCCAGAACAGAAGGAACACCTTTATTACTCGTTTTACTTTCTCTCTGAAATTTGGCGGAAGTGTCGTACAGGGGCTTTTGCTTCTTCTTCTCTCCAGAGATGAGCCTCTTTTGTGGGTACGGCTTTGTGTGTGTAATCCGATCGCCTTATATAGTTTTTTTCTTCTCTGTATGAAATCTGCTTCGCTGTGTTGTTGGTGGCGGTGTTTCAACTTCTGCAATGCAACTCCCACGTCGTTCACGTTTTTGTTTTTTGCCTTTTGCGTGTTTGCGATGTCAACAGATTCTTCCTCTCTTCCTCCCCCGCCATGTATCAAATCCTTACACCCTAACCCTTTTGTTCCCCCCCCCCTCCCCTCCCCGTGAAATGGCATGTTTGATGTGTACGCGATCACGACCTTCCATGGTGGTTGCACGTGTGCGCCGCTTTTCCCTTTCTTTCTTTCTTTCACACACACACACACACAAACTCTTTCTCTCGCTCGGTGCGTACGGCGGAGCTCCTCCTCCTTTTGCCTTCTTTATCCTTTCCCCCAACTTCTCCTCCTCTCTTTAATATTTTTATTAGTACTTCTCCAGGGAGGATGTTCAACTGCTTACTCGTTAGCCGTTATTCTTTGCATGTTGCCGTTTTGCAAAGGTGTCGACAGAACCGTTCTGTTCTATCGGCCATTTTTCTACTGGGCACTCCAGCTGCGTCAAAGAAGGTTCCTTCTTCTCTTCATTTGCTTCGTTGTTGAGGGACCACATCTTTCTTTTGCTGTCCTTCTCCGTGAGATAGACACATGTATACATATATATATATATATGATCTGTCTCTTTCACGCTGTAAAAAAACAAGTGGGGCGAAGACGTAGACGGTCGGTTTTCGTATTTGGACGTGTCCTCAACGCATTTTTTTCTTTTTATCTCGTCTCCCTTCTTCTCCCTTTTTTCTTTGTGTGTGTGTGTGTGTGTTTTGTTTTGTGAGTATGAATGCGTGTGGAGTGTGGGCTCTTCTACTGGGGATCCCAAACTCCATGTCACTTTAAGTAAACTCTTTCTCTTTCTCTTGCTTGCCGCATCGTCTTCCGATATTTTTTTTGTGTTCTTCGAGGTGTACGCGTGAGTCCAGGGGAGTGTGCTGCTCACCATCTGAAGTTCGTTTACTCCCCTCACCCCAACCCCCATTTATATGTGTTCTCCTGAATATATATATATATGGATTCGTTCTCTCTCACTCTTTCTTCTTCTTCCTCCCCTTCCCCTCCCCTCCCCTTCCCCTCCCCTCCTCTCTCCCGAATTCACCTTTCTTGAAACCTGCAGCGCAGCTTCCGGTGTGCCCGGTCGGTGCGAGTACTGAGCTGCTGTCAGGTTTAGACGACTGATACTCTAAGCGCTCACGGCGCTTACGTTTTTTTTCTCCTTTCCTCTGTGCTCCTCCCCCACCTCTTTTATTATTTATTATTATTTCCTGGCATTCCCATTCCTGAAGTGACACGCTTTGTCGAGTTGCAATGCGGAGCCAAAAACCGTTATGGGCGTCAGTTTTCTTTCTTTGAATGGGCGAGAACGATTTGCTGCTCTCTTATGTTTGGGTGTTTTTTGTTTGTAGTGCGGGGAGAACGCACTCAACTTCGCAGTTCACCATCCGTTTGTTTGTTTTAGAATGGAAACAGAAAGTTTATTGCTGTTTTCTTTCTTGTCTTTGTCGGGCTCTGTCTCCCCCCCCCTCCTCCTCCTCCTCCTTTTTGTTTCTTGTAATTGCTGCCGGCCATTGGGACGCCGCAGCTTCTCGACGAGTGCGATTTGTCGCGTGAGTGTTTTTCATGCTGTTTTGCGTCGACCACTGGATGCACCCCGTGTACTTTCCTATTATTATTGTTTTTTAGATCTCCCTCCTATTTAGCCTGCCTACAGCAGCCGCTGGTAATGATCCCTCCCTCCCCTCCCTCCTCTGTCAGTGTATTCCTGCAAGCTGACAGCAATAATCGAAACTACGCAGCTGCATCAAAACACTAAGTTTAGGTACTTTCTTCCGCTATGAAATTCATTGCTTTCACATTGACCATTAGCGACAGTCGCCAGCTCTGTGTGTCTGTTTGTGTGTTATCATTGCTCCGTGACGTCGAGACATGTAAGGGCTATGGACACGTTGTGCCCCGTTTTCTTTTTTTAATTTATGCTACTAGTATTATTTTTTGGTTGTCGCTGGTTTTTTTTTCCTTCTTTCTTTGTTACCCCCCCCCCCTCCCCTACCAGCTCAAGACAACAGATGCGAGTGGCACGGGTGCAGTGACCTCGTCTCCCTCGTGTCTGAGTTGTTTCGTGACCTGTGAGCCCCAATAGAAGAAGACAAATAAAAACGAGAGGGAACTCGTAGATGCTGTTGTTTTTATTTAGTATTATTATTTCATCGAGGTGTAAATGGACGTGGAGACGATCTCTGACGCCTCGCTTTCTTTCACCTTCTCGGGCATAAGGCTTGTGAACGACAACGACAACCCTTTTAGCCCCCTTCTCGTCGCAGGATCGTCGTCCGAGGTGGCTGTTCGTGCATTGGGTTTTTTTTTGTTTTCCTCCTTCCACGAAGAACAACAACCCTTTGTTGTTGCTGTTTTTCAGTTATCCCCCCTCCTCCCTCTCACCCTCCCCCCTTTACCGTTTATTTTAGGGCTTGTTTTTCTGTCTCATTTTCAATAATCCATTTCACTCTTTTGGTATTCTCTTTGGTTCCTCACTCCTTCCCCCCCCCCCTCCTCTCCTTCCCCTCCACATTCCTCAGATGGCGCTCATCAGTCGATCGAGTAGCCCCGCTGATGCCGCCTTCTCCCTTTCCGTCGTTTTCACCCCTTCACTTCTCCGCGGCACAAGGACGGTGTACTACTAGCTTCATTTTGGGGAGTGTATGCGTTGGATTTATTATTATCTATCTCTTTCCTTCTTTCTCTGCCATTGTGTATCCGGGGAAACACGCGGAGCTGCAGCACAGCACGTCTAGAATAGCACACACATGCACAACAGAAGGTCGTCGCCTTTCTACGTCTACCCTTTTTTTGGTGCTGATGTGTGTGTTCATGTAATTGTTATCAGCCTTTATACGTGTGTCTCCAGCGTACTACGATTACTTGTGAACGCCTTCTTGTTGTGTCGTATCGCATGATCCTTTCTCTCCCTCTCTCTCGGAGATGAACTTGACAGACGGATACAAAAAAATTTCATTACGCGCTGTTGGTGTCACATCCCTGACGCGCTACGACCACGCAGTGGAAGTGGACAACACAGTTGCCACGCAGCTTCAAACACATGTGTGCGTGTGTGTGTGTGTGAGAAGAGAGCCTCTCACAACAACAGCTCGTCGCGGGAACGCCTCAAAAAGGGTTGAAGTGAAGTGCGCTAGCATGTATTGCCCTTTTTAAACTGGAACGATGGAAGATAACCATGTGCGCGCCATTATATATATATATATATATACCCCTTATCATGTTCTTCATTCTTGGGTTTTTCTCTAATACCGTTAGACTCTTATACGGCTGCTACGTCTCTTAACGTAACGCTTCATCTGTCTTTCTTTTCTTCTTCTCAGTGCAACCCGTCGACTCTGTGCGTGTGTGTGCGCGCACCGGAGCGTGTACGCCCTTCTCCTTCACATTGTCTCTTTCTTGTTTTTCTCGATTTCCGTACTTCGATGCAGTTTTTTTTTTTGCGATTACAAAAGGTAGAGCTTCTCGTCGACGCCGAAAAGCGCATGCAGTGCGAAAATAACTCCAAAGCAAATGGGGAGAAATAAGAGAGAGAATGCGGTGGTGTCTAACGAGCAGTGCCATCTCAGCCGGGCCCTAAGATCGAGCGAACCCATTTTCTGTTTTGTTTTTTGTTTTCAAAGTGTGTGATGCGCGCGTCTACGTTTTACGGTAGTGCGCAAAGGTAATCTCCCTATCGAGGGGAGAGCGATGTGCCGCCAGACCTCTGCTGGCGTCTCTGACACGTTCGATCTGGTGACGTCCTTTCCTTATCGGCATGTTTATTATTATTATTATTATTTACGTATTCTCTCTCTTTGTCTCTCTTCCCCGTCTCCTTTCTTTTTCACTCCTTCTTGCGTACCTTCCCTCCGCTACTCTGCGCAACCCAACATCGACGTTCTTTCCTTCTGCCCTTTTCCTTCCCAGCCGTAGGCCGTCGTAACCACATTATAATTGGTTTTCCTGACTGGGGGTGGACATCACCTCTGCTTCCCCGTACCCATCGTTACCTATGTGCATACACACCTACACACGTTCATCTATATATTTTTTTTCCTTTCCGCCCTTCTGAAGTATACCCTGTGTACACACGCAGAGCAGCTGTGACTTGGTGTCCGCCACATTACCCTCAGCCTTGAGTTCTGTTTGTCGGCCTGCTTCGTCTGCCTTCTTTCTCTCCTCTGTTACTTACATACATAGTTGCTCTTATATATCATCTTTTCTTTTTACTGTTTCTTGGCTGCCAGATTTATGTATAAAGATTCAATAGATTACTTCTCATTGTAGAGACACCTTATTACTATTATTGTTTTTGACTCCTCCCAGTCACCCTGACAGCGGTATCTGTCTAGTGTCCCAGCTACCCCGCATTCTCTTTCTCTTTCTCTTTCTCTTTCTCCCTCTCCACACTCGTCTTCTTCTTCTCTGCTTGTGACGGCTGCGCTGCTTCGTTTCCCGTTTTCCTTGCTTTCTTCGCTGGTTGCGTGATTAGTTCAGTTGTGTGTCTGTGAGTTCTTCTCCGTTATGTACCCCTACCCACCGGGCTTATACCGGCCACGGCCGGATGCGAACATGATGGCCACCTACCACCAGCAACAACAGTTTTATCAACAGCAACAGCAGCAGCAGCAGCGGTGTCAATGGAGAAGCATCCACGGCACGTACCCAGTCATGGACCAGAACCCCAACATCCAGGGCACGGGCTACACAAACTACATGGGTCAGCAGCAGCAGCCACAGCAGCAGATCTATTCCCCGCATATGGGCGGCTACCCGATGCAGCAGCAGTCACCGCTACAGTACGGCGGCGGCTTTAACGCCCCGACGAGCCGGCCGATGAACGACATGAATATCCAGCAACAGCAACAGCAGCAGCAGCTGCGTCCAGGCTGGGCGGAGTCCAGACCGGGGCGTACGCCCTGCAAGGACGATTGGTGGTCGCACGTGAAGGACGAAATGCAGCGCATTGAGAGCCCACGCGGGATCGATTTAGAGAAAGAGGACGAGCACGCGAACGTGATGGAGGAGCTGCAGCGCACCGGCACGACGTCGGGGGTGGTGGACGATGGAGAAGACGGGGCGGCAGCCTTTGAAGAGCGACGCAACCAGCACAACGAAAGTGAAGGTGCCTTCGGTGCAAACCCAAAGGAGGACGGCGGCAACCCTCCTCAGCAGCCCTACTACGACCATCCGCAGCGTAAGCCGTATCCGTCGGCGGAGTCCGGTCGGGAGGGGGCCAGCGGTGAGGAGGCGAAGGCGCCGCTGGAGACCCGTCCTAACAAGCAGTGCCGCTCCTCGCAGCTGGCGGGGACCGAGGAGGGGTGGAAGCGAAAAGGTCTAGAGAGCACGCCGTACCGCCCCTACTCCTCCAAAGAGAAGAACGATGAATCACAACAACAACAGCAGCAGCAGCAGGAAGGTGACGTAACGGAACTGGCGAACAGCGCCTTCCACCCCGCTGGTTCGCCAGGCGCGAAAAATGGCCAGGCCGCAGCGGGGGTGCAGCGAATGCCGCGCATTCCTCCCCCGCGGCGTCAGACAGCCGGCAAGGGAGACAACGCAGCGCACAACAACATCAGCAGCAGCAGCGGAGGAGCGCCGATGTCAACCACGTCAGCAGCCACGACAGCGACAGGGGCTGTTACGACGACGACTTCGCCGGCAGGCACAAATGACACCAGCGCAGGCGGAGGCAACGTCTTACCGCCGCACCGGCCGCCTCTGCAAGACGAGGCAGATCGAAGCAGACGGATGAGCCAGTCGGAGAACAACGCCGAGAGCTTTAAGCGGGGTGACTCGACGATGCAGGTGGATCGGGAAGACCCGCGGGGGCAGCTTCCGAGCATTGTAATCGAAGACCGCGGCGCAACGGTGAACGACGACAAAGCCGCCGCTGCCGTCCTCGCCTGGCGACGCGGTAGCGGCAGCGCCGTCGACCATCGCGGGTACAGCATCGGTGGAGTCACGCACCTCCGCTTGAGCACGTCGGAGCCGGCGCACAGCGCAGAAGCAACGAAGGTTGTCCCCCCTGGACAGAAAAAGTCTGTTGCTTCACCGGTGAAGGCAGGCGGGCGAGATCAACGGGCGTACTCGTACTTCAACAACTGCCACACGACCGCGCTGCGCGAGGATGAAGAGGAAGATAACAACGGCAGTGGCAGCGACGGCGAGGATGAAAGCGACAGTAGCTCCAGCAGTGGAGACGAAGCAGACGACGAGGAAAGTGATTCGGAAGACGAGGACGATGAGGTGGAGTACAGCACGATCCACCGCCCGTTCGGCCATGTGAACAATCTAGGTCGCAGCACGTTGGAGTACAGCGCATTTCGCGATATCCCCGATGAAGCGGAGCACGCGGAGGGCGGCGAGGTGACGGCGGCGAACGGCACGCTGCCACTTCCCAAAGCACCGGTGGAAGCGCGAAGGAGCCCCGGCACCGACGGCATCAACCCCTTCAGTGGCGCCGGGGGAGGCGAGGTGCTGCCGCACAAGTCTGCCGGCCATCTCTTCAACCTCAACTCGAGCATCACCACGCGCAGCTACTCCACCGGTATCGACGACCGGGCCTATATGATGGCGGACATGAGTATCATTGAGCGCCACAACGGCACTCACGACGAGGAGGGCAAGATGCCAGCCCCGTCGGAGCGCAGTCCGCCGCCGCCCCCGCGAGGAAGGGAATACAGCATTTTGGCGCTGCGTGACGAGGGCTCACCGTATGCGGCGGGCAACCCAGCCTCCCCGTTGCAGCATCACCTCCCGAGTCAGCAGACGCACACCCCTGAAAAAGAGACGAGCGATCCTGCGGCAAAAGACCGCAAGCGCGGGGACGCGGACCCGTCGGACTGTGTGATGGATCGGCTACAGCGTGTCGGGGTGGGTAAGCGCGCTCCCCCAAAGATCACGATCAAGGCAAACACCGCAACAGCACCAGCGGCAGTGTCGGGAAGCAGCAGCCCGAACAGCAACGCAGCCACGGCACCGCAGACAACATCAACGACACCGACACTTCCGAATGTGCACAAGCAGCAGCCCAACCGCGACGGAAAACAGCAAAAGAGCAGCAACGACGGCGCCAGCGCGGCCGCCAAAGTCAAGATAGAGGACATCAAACTCCCGCCTGCTGGCGTCAACGAAAGGCGGGTACCTCCGGCGGGGTCAACTTCGCCCCGCGTGCCTCGCTCTCCCGTCGATGACGGAAAGACGAAGAGCAGCCCCACCAGCAAAGAAGGTCCGCTGTCGAATACCAACAAGCTGCCCCCCACGCCCACCACAAAGGCGCCGCCAGCGGCATCCACCACCGCCGCTCCTGCTGCTGTCCCGGCACCCAAGAAGCCGCCCACCGCACAGCCGCTGATGAGTAACACCGTGGAAATATCGCACTGCGACAATAGCGGCGCCGCTCCCAAGCCCCTTCCGCATGCCTCCGTCCCCGGCAAGCATGTTTCCATTTTCAAGCGCATCCGCAAAGGCCCGGCGGCGGGTGCACAAGGCGAAAAGCCGATCAAATCACCGACCACGTCATCGTTGCCCGCCCACACAACCGATGTCGCTTGGGGAGCCGCTGCGGCCGCCGCCGCCGTGTCAGCATTCGCCGCCAGTCCTTCCGATAAAATGGCCGGCCTTGGGAAGGTGAAGGTGTCGTCTCGCGCTAGCCTCGGTGTCGCGCCCGCAGCAGCAGCAACACCACCGACTTCCGCTGTCGGCACCGGTAAAGCGACGGTCTCCTCAGCAGGTGGAACCTCTCCGCCCATCGCAAGCGCCGTTCGGGCGAACCTTGGCAGCTCGAAGCAGACCACGCCGAAGCTTGCCACCCCACCCAGCGACCACCCCGCTGGCAGCCCAATCGTCGAGAAGCTCAGCGGCCTCACGCGGCATGCCGTGTCTCCCATCGCCGCGCATCCCCCGTCTGTTTTTCCAGTAAAAACACCCTCGACCGCAGCCGCGGATACGACGAGAGCCCCGGTCAAGTCCACCGAGGGGTTAGCGAAGAACAGCACCTCAGCAGACGCGCCGCGAGGTGTTGTGAGCGCCGGTGCGACAACGTCGGAGTCACCCAAAGGTGCCGGCCTCCCATCCTCCTCCCCTGGCCCCTTGCAGCTGAGTTCGAACCTCCTCAGTCTTACGAGCAGCACGTCGACCGGACTCGCGGACGTCCCTGGGGAGAAAGCGGAGGCGGCGGCACAGAGCGCGAGTCCGGCCACGACCTCGCTGAACATGTCACCGTCGAGCATCGCAAAGGACGGGTGCGAGTCTCGCCAAGGGCGGCAGCAGCCGCGGCCAGTGCACGCGCGAGCGAGCCCCTCCGCCACACCTCTCTCCGTCGCACCAGGAAGTCGCAACATCGGCGGCCGGCAAGCGAGCACGCAGCCAGCCCCCGGCGCGAGCGCCGCCAACGCCAACATGGAAAGGCTGACGAAGCTTCCCAGCAAGCGAACGGGGACCCCCAGCCTACCTCTGCTTTCAGTCCCCAACTCGGCTGCGTTGAACAGGAATACCACCGGCGCTAGCAACACCGACAGCCGCATCAGTGCTGTTCGCCGCCTCTCGCCCACCGCGTCAGCCGAGACGAACATCGGCTCGACAAGCCCGGAATCGCAGCACAGCGACGGCAGCACCAGCAACTACGTCCCGCAACTCACCTCAACGCGCACCACGGCAACGTGCCGGCCAGCGTGTCGCACCACGATGGCGAGCGCCGGTAGGCCTTCCGCGGTTGCGCTGCACGGTCTTAGCTCCCCTCGACCACCGACCACCACCACCACCACCAACGCTCATTCACCGTCTCAGCGGAAGACAGCTTCGGTTCCCTCCGCCACGGGTACCACAGTGGCAACAGCAGCGGCAACAGCAAAGAAGGGGGCTGGAGGTTCGTCAGCGCGTCCCGTCCCCGCCCCCACAAAAACACCAACGCGATCAGCAGCAGCCCTCACCACCACCACTACCGCGAAGGACAACGACGACGATATGCGGGATGCGTGGATGACGGAGGCGTACGACTTCTACGCGTACAGTGGGCAGAGCCTCTCCGATGACGAGCAGGATACGCACCACAACAAAGGGCCATCTTCTCCGCCGCCGCCGCCGCCAGCGGAGACGGGCAATTGTGATACCCCATCGGCGCCGGCCCCGATAACGCGTCGCGGTGTGAAGCGACTTTCCGCTGCCGCAGGCTCGTTGGCGGACTTGGGCTACATCATTTGATTATTACTCTTATTCCTCATAGTGTATTTCTCTTCCTTTCTTTCAGGCTTTATTGTTATTTCTCGATACAGACACTTCATGCGGCGTGTGTGAAGGACCGGTCTGCTCAGCAAACCACATGTATATACGTGTGGGCACCTGCCAAATTGTGCGTTAACTCTCGACTATTTCTTTTCTCGGTTCCCCACGATTCGTTTCGTTCTGCCTCCTTTCTTTCTCTCTTTGGTTGTTCTTCTTCTTGCATCGCTGTAGAGTCTCCACGTGAGTTTTCGTTTTTACTATGATGATTATTTCTATCAGAAGTATTTGAGGGGTTTTTTTTTCTTCGATCCGCCTGATTTTCGTTGTTTTGCTTTTTTTGTAGCTGCCGTAGGCTTTTTTGTTTGTTTTTTTATCTTTGACAGATTCCTCCTCTCACCGTTGGCGCGGATCATGTTCGCGTTTTGCTTACTTGTTCCTCTCAGCATGATGTGTTGCTTTCTCGCAGTGCGTGAAACGCGTAGCACCGAGCACGTAAAGCTCGCTGGTGCTGAATGCTCGAGTTTTTTCTTCTGTTTTCTATTTTTGCTCTCTTCTCCATTCACCCTTCATGTTATATCGACCTAACAGTACGAAATAGAGTCGCCTATGACGTGTATGCGGACTTCAGTAGACGCGCTTCTTCCTTCTAAAAAGCGTATACCCGAGTTACATGCCACCCTTCTTTTTCCTAAACCGTAAGTACCTCGAACGAAAACCACAGCACAGAAGAATGCCGTCATGTTGCGTGCTGTATCGTTACTCGCTCGCACCGCATAAGCATCACGAACTCGAAGCCTTTGAAGCGAAGCAGGGTAGATCACTGTTTCTCGTGTGTGTGTGTGTGTGTGTGTGTGTTTTCTTCGAGGATCCTGTCGTGTCTCTATTCCGTTGAGTGTGTGTGCAGCGGTCAAAGCAGTTTATTTTCCAGGGTTTGTTTTGAAAGGTTTGTTTTTTTTTCCCCTTATGCAAGCGTAATGACGCTTCGTTCTAGATATATTTCTTGCACGGGTATCTCTCTGTCACTCATCGAACTACCAGGTTTGTCCTTCGGTATATATATATATATATATATATATATATATATATA